TGACTGTGTAGAAATGAGGACAGGTTTTGTGTGTCTTTATTGATTTCTTTTACTTCTCTCTTTGGGTAAATAACATTTTGCAATCTCAGAGATTTCAGTGTTTTTGCTAAATAAATATCTCATAAAACCCCAGGGGCTGTGTTTACTGAAATCTGATGGAGATTCGGGCTGTTCTCCCACTATTATCACCCTTTAAAAAAAAAAATTGATTATATTTTTATAAATGGATTAGCATGGGAGGGGATTGGCTATTCACAGAAAGGCATAGCCACCTCATTAAAAAGGTTTAAAAAATTGGCAACGTTTGGAAAAGCTTTAGGGCTCTGGGCTGGCACCGTGGCATGCCAGCAACTGGGCTACACAAACAAGCAAAGCCCCATCCACAGTATGCAGACAACATGCTAACCACAATCCCTCTGGTCTGTGGAAAAACCTTTCTCCACAGAACCGTTCCCTGGTGCCCAAAAACAGTTGAGGGCCCCTGCTTTAGGGGGGTCAACTCCCAGCTGCATAGGATGTATTTATCTACCCCCTTCTTCATAACACTAGGAGTCTCCAAAGTTAGCCACTTTAAGACTTGCAGACTTCAACTCCCAGAATTCCTCAGTCAGATCTGCTGGCTGGGGAATTCTGGGAGTTGCAGTCCATAAGTCTTAAAAGTTGCCATGTTTGGAGGCCTCTGACCAACGTTGGACTATCATTTTTCTCTTCTCTGTCTTGCAGGTTTTTATACAGGAACCAATCCGACGTGAAAAGAAACGAGGTCGACCAGAAGAAGCATTTCTTGGTTGCCCCTTTGATTAGATTTCCTTGAGGAGAAGTCCAGGAAAGAAGGAGAATGAGACAGCTGAAGGGGAAGCCCAAAAAAGAGACATCCAAAGACAAAAAGGAGAGAAAGCAAGCAATGCACGAAGCCCGTCAACAAGTCACAACTGTGGTGCTTCCCACCTTGGCTGTGGTGGTGCTTTTGATTGTGGTGTTTGTTTACGTGGCCACTCGCCCCAATACAACTGAATGACATGGGTTTTGAACTCTGCCCCTTGGGTGGGCGTGCCAAGGCCCAACAACTAATCAAAGTCCCCACTTCGCCAAGAGATCCTTTTTAATCACTGTCATGAATAATCCTTTTACAAAGGAACCCTCTTTCTCTGACTTGATTCATAGTCCAGAGTTGCTCTGCTGGAAGGTAACCTAGAACATACTCAATTCCTGGGACACAAAGTGTTTTATTGTCTAGCATAATGTGCCTTTTTAGATCTCAACAGTCTCTTGCTCACTCCTAAAAGTAGATTCTGTTGCTTTTGGAAATTTGTATCAATCAGCTTTGAGTTTGTCAGCAGCGTTGCTCCTGTCAAGGTCCTGTATGTTGGCTTCACAGCTGCCAAAGAAGTGGATTTTTTTTCCCCCTTCCGTTGTAATTATATAATGGCATTTGAAAATCTTTGATTAAAAAGAAGTATTTATTTTTGGAATAAAGAGAACATGTCTTACATAAAAGGCTTTCCTCCTGATTTACTCTTGAAACCATTTCTGTTGTGGAAAACGGCAGAGAGTAGATAATATTTTCCTCAGAATTAAGCCAGAATGTAAACAGAATAGTTCCTTTCTCCATCTGAGGCTTTACCAATGAATAATTTAAGATAACTCTTAAATTATGCTTGTTCTAACAAAATAGTAGAGATTTCACACAGCATTAATGTTGGTTTTTAAAAGTGTCTAAACTTTTTTTTAAAAAAAGTCCTGAGTCCAGCATACTAAAACAACGGCTTATCACATGATAAAATGCAAATATGGAATGCAGGCAGCGTGCAAAATCACCCTCTCCGCTCCACAGAAATACCACTTTCCACAGAACCGATCCCTGGTGCCAAAAAGGTTGAGGAGCTGCTATAATTGGCTATATAGTGGGATCCAAATTTTGAGATACACTCCAATAATAAGGGAAGGTAACCCAGTTCTTTCATGTGCCTATAGTTAGAGGATGCCTAAAATAGGGTCTCCAAGCCCTTAAAGATATCCAAAAGGCAACCCCTAAAATTGGCTTGGTGCATTTTGGTGAAATTATGATATCTTAGGTCTTTTTAAAAAGTAAAAGAGCAAAAATCGAAGCAGAAATGTAGTCCTTCAACTTTTCCTTTAGACACAAGAACCAATAGGAGCCTTGAGTTCCTTCCATGATGAACCATATTTTATTGCATAAGCCCTATAGCTTAGTTCACAATGCTGTTAAATATCCATAAAATTCACGGGCTGGTTGTAAACATCATACTAAGCCTTAGTGCGGTATGTGCAATATGGCATACTGAACCTTAATGTGATTTTAGCTTCAGGCATTGTGTGATTTGTTGCCCTTACCCAAAAAAGTACCACATGATAAGAATTGCTTTCATTAGTAGTGTTATGGTTGATAAACAATAAACAAACAGCGGTAAAAGAAATGCAAAAAGAAAAAAGACACGATCTGCATTTACTGGTTAGAGATCAATCTAACATGCATTAACAGGATAACTGTTGGAAGGGACCTTGGAGGTCTTCTAGTCCAACCCCCTGCTCAGGCAAGAAACCCTACACACCATTTCAGACAAATGGTTTAAAAACTTCCAGTGTTGGAGCATTTACAACTTCTGGAGGCAAGTTGTTCCACTGGTTAACTGTTCTAACTGTCAGGAAATTTCTCCTTAGTTCTAAGTTGCTTCTCTCCTTGATTAGTTTCCATCCATTGCTTCTTGTCCTGCCTTCTGGTGCTTTGGAGAATAGCTTGACCCTCTTCTCTGTGTGACAGCCCCTTAGATATTGGAACACTGCTATCATGTAACCTCTAGTTAAAAAATAAAAATAAAATATTGAACAAAGAAGTCCTGACTTAGCATAATAGGAACTAAAAACCAAAGCATTTCACCAGTAGAATTTTCAAGCTGTTTCTTTCTTAACATGGATGGTAGGAGAACGGAGTGATTTATTAGAATCATTTTAACAGAAAAATCTCGTTGCTCTTTTTTTCCCTACCTAATCACATGATCGAGCTACGAAGAGTGCTTATTACCTGATAAAGCCATTTTACATATATTTCTAACCACTTTTTCCCTTTGCACAAATCCATTCATAGCCAAGGTGTTATAGCTTGCAATGCAATTTAGCATGAATCCTATTGTGGCTTCAAGCATTTAAAGAGGCAATTTTTTTGTAATTTGATTATCTTTCAGTTCAGAATCTTAAAAGTGAGGATATGGGGAAATGGGCATTTTAGTTTTACATTACTGAACATCTCTAAATCCAGGTTTTTTTTTTTTATTTCCTTCCTATGTATTCATTTGCAACTGTCTAAAGATTCCTGCATATATTACTAAGGTCCCACAGAATATTTGGCCTCAAAATGTAAATTAGGCCAATGGAGGTGCCATCCTCAAAGGTATATCAAACATTTGCAAAGATTATAAAGAGCAAAAAAGTGGAGAAAATGGTGCTTTCTTAAGAATTGGGAATAATACAAGGGTATTACAAGGAAGAACATCCCAATTTTCTCTCACGTATTAGCATGATTTCTAAAGCACCCCCAAAAAGGTATGTGTGTGTTGCACGGCATACCGTAGTTTTTTAAAAGAAAGATTGCAATATAATAATTATAGCAATAGTACAGGTAGTCCTCAACATATAACCACAATTGAGCCCAAAATTTCTGTTGCTAAGGGAAAAATTGCTAAGTGAACTGTGAACCATTTTACGACTTTTCTTGCCATGTTTATTAAGTGATTCGCTGCAGCTGTTAAGTTACTAACACAATTGTTAAGTGAATTTGGCTTCCCTGTGGAATTTGCTTGCCAGAAAGTCGCAAAAGGAGATCATATGTCCCTGGGACATTGCAACTGTCATAAATTCCAATGCCAAGCATCTGAATTTTGATCATGTGACCATGGGGATGCTACAAATATGGGTGAAAGTGTGAAAACCAGTCATAAGTCACCTTTTCCAGTGCCATTGTAACTTCGAACAGTCATTAAATGAACTGTTGTACACCGAATACCTGTAGCAAGGAACAAAGGAAAACTGAAGTAAAGCTGTAAGCGTAGTCAGGATCGTGTGACTTTCACTTAGTGGCCACTCTGCTTAACAACAGAATTGTTGGTCCAATCGTGGTTGTTAAACAAGGACTACCTATACCAGGGGTGTCAAATTTGATTTCATTGAGGGCCTCATCAGGGTTGTGTTTGACCTTGGGGGGCCAGGGGGACATGGCCAGCTCAACATCGCTTGTGTCGGGGGCACCTGTGGTACCCCAAGCTCTCTGCCAGTGAAAATAAGCTCCCAAGCTCTGTTTCAGCTGCGACGGCCTCCTGCAACCTTCGGCCAGCGAAAACGGAGCTCGGAAGAGCTGCCCTTCCGAGCTCCATTTTCACTGGCAGAGGTACCACATGCCGGTCCTTTGCTGTTTCCAGGGTGGCCCCACAGGGCCAGACATAAGAACCACACGGGATGGATCCTGCCCATGGGCCAGAGGTGGTATTCAGCAGATTCTGACCAGTTCTGGAGAACCGGTAGCGGACATTTTGAGTAGTTTGGAGAATCAGCAAATAACACCTCTGACTGGCCCAGCCCCCATCTATTCTCTGCCTCCCATTGAGTCCCAGCTGATCAGCTGGGTCTTCTTTTGTTGCCCTGCACAGGAGAACGGAGCTGGAAAGCAGGTTAGTGGGGTGGGGAGGGAGTGGGGATTTTTCAGTAGCCTCTCTGGAGTGAGGTGGGAAAGGAGATTTTACAGTATCCTTCCCCTGCCACGCACACCAAGCCATGCCCACCACGCCACGCCACACCACGCCCTCCAAGCCATGCCCACAGAACCGGTAGTAAAAATGTTTGAATCCCACCACTGCCATGGGCCTTGGGTTTGACACCCTTGACCTATACACTCAGGTAGAATATCCAACCTGCAGCCCACTCAGTAATCATTCGTTATTTCAAAGTGTCAGGAAAATATTTATGAAGAAGGGGAATTGAATTATAAAAGGATTCATAAGCAGGGTAGAGGGCTGTGAGACCAGACTTCAGAGAAATTTGCCTTGCTGGAAACCTACATGGAGCAGGATGAGAGAGGCATGGGAGAGACAGACAGCAGATGGTCCTTTTTTCACCTTCATTCCCAAGCCATTTCTCCAAAGTTAAAATTGGAGGCAAACGGCACTTGGTGTCAGGAAAACACTTAGCTTTTTTGGTGGGAGGGAGCATTTGCTGAGTAGTTGGGAGGAGGTGTAAAGAGAAGTTCAGATAAAATTTTATTTGATCCTCCATTTGTAGATGGGTTGAATTTCTTTTTCATTGTCAATCCCCGATCCCTTTCTTAGAAAGTTTTATCCCAACTGTATTATTTTTTTTAAATAAATAAATCAGGGTGGCAAATATATTTCTAATACTCCTTTCTCCTATTTTCCCAACAACAATCCTGTGACATGGGTTGGATTGAGAGGGATGCACTGGTCCAGTCAACCCAGCTGGCTTTCATGCCTAAGGCAGAACTACAAATTATAGTCCTCGGGTCATTGGCCCAAAGTCACCCAGGTACCTTTCATGTCTAAGGACGAACTAGAACTCACAGTCTCCCGGCGATTGGCCCAAAGTCACTCAGCCAGCTTTCATGTCTAAGGTGGGGCTAGAATCCACAGTCTCCTAGTTTGTAACCTGGTGTCTTCATCACTAGACCAAATTGGCTCCCTTAATAATACACAGGAATATGGATTCATATATATATATTATCCCTTCAACAAAGCAACAGCTTCAAAAAGTGGTTCCAAGAACACCAGTTGAGAAA